GGAGTCATTGCAATAATTTCTAACAGTCACGGTGGCCAGTCACAATTCTTTTAGCTAGAAGCATCTGTCGGGAAGGGCGTGCCACCGGCGAAAAAAACCTGCGGGGAAACTGTGCAAAAAAAAACGCATTCTCGTACCGGCAGTCGGTGCGCTTTCGACTAAGTTTAACTTTGGAGGAGCAGGAGAAGGAGAAAGAGGGTTTGTTGTTGGTTTATTTTGTGGAAAGTGGGGAGAAGAGCATGCGCTGCTGGTTAAGTACTACACTATTGCTTGAGAGAGGGTGGGAGAGGGGTGAGTGCTGCCGATTAACTTAGAGGAAAGGAGGGGGAGAGGTGTGCTGGTTCACTTTGGAGAGGGGGGAAAGGGCCGGAGGGATAAACAGGGAGGGGGAGAGGGGAGGGAAGGGCTAACGTGCTGTTGGTTAAGTAACTACACTACTGCCCGGGACAGGGAGACAGTGGGAGAAAGGTTGATTGATGGCGGTTAACTTAGGGAAAGGGAGTTTCTTATGTGCCACTGCATAACGAACGACTCTATCATTCCTGACGTATAATTACAGGATTACTTTTCAAGGATTCTACATTTTACCATGCCATATAGAAGCAGTGGAAAGGAAGGCGTTGAGGGGGAAAGAGAAAGGCAGGGATGTAGCAAGGGGAAAACTACAGATACAACCGGGAGGAAGAATGTGGTGCGGGTGTAGCCAGGAGGGAGGTGGGAATACAGCCGAGAAGAGGGTGGGGATGGGATTTAACCGAGGGGCGGGGCAGAGCTGGGCCCAGCACGAGCTGATGAGCGGAGCGGAAGCGCTACAGCGTGGAAAGGTGAAGCGACCTATACAAGTAACGAGCCTCTCTGGAACGTGTGCATGGGCCGCTCTACCATGTACAGGTTAGGGCATATTACTTGTAATCTGATGTTGATAATATATTTTGCGCTCTGGTTAACTAGTGCTCTCACATTTACGATTGCAGCAATACTGTCAAGTAAGTTCGACCGTCCGTTCGAATACTTTTATGCAAATACAATTCAATCACAGACTGCTTCAATCTCGTCTAGCGGTTACTGTGGTAAATTTAAGCAAAATGGCCGTCCCCACAAAAGCACTCGATCTTGCTTCTGCCAGCACATAGTTAACATAAGCTCGAATCTTACTGTGGATACATCTTACTGCTATTTGGAAGAATAGGGCCTGAATCTGGGAAAATCAGGATGAAGACTAAACTCAAGATAAGCCACAGGGCACATTCGACATCACTGCACAACGCTTATAAGAACAACCGTAATTATGCGATATTTGAAGTTTTCTGGGGGAAAAATCACAAATAGACTGAAAAATGTTTTTAAAAAAACATTGTCTATTGCTGTTTTCAAGCAAAAAAAAAAGCGTTAAAATAACATGGATGGTGCACCTACCGTATCAGCAACATTATCAAGGTGTAGATCGGAGATCATCTCAGATACTTCGGCGTAGCGGTCTTTAATACCTCTGAGTTCTCGAAATAATTCCAAATGCTCGCGCACTGTCAGCGAATCAAATAGTGCATTGTACTGTGGGCAATACCCAATTTCATGCTGGCATTTCTTGATGCTCCTCGAATTCAGTACTTTTCCACAAATAGAGATGATGCCTGACGTTGGCGTAATAAGCCCGGTTATCATTGAGAATGTTGTGCTTTTGCCAGCGCCATTATGTCCCAGAAGAACCGTTATCTGTAACAAAGATTGCCATTACTGCCCACAAAACTGTATGAGGAGAAAGGATATAAAGTCGACAAGGATGAATAGTATTTGCTCATTTTGAACAAAATATGGAAGGTTCTAGCGAAGTGCTTAAACTGTACTCCTACGCAAATTAAAGTAGGAGCAAAATCGTAAAGAAAGGAAATTTGCTGCCCTTGCTGCATCGATGCCGATAAGGAAAACTTGAGAAACAGAGAAATTCGAAAGTAATCCACCGACAGCAGTTCCCAACTAGCGAAGTGTCAAAGAACTCTTCTTTCGAGAGCTTCTTAATAAGTTAATGACAGTTTCGACTCCAGCGAAGTACCAGTCAGCCTCAATCATAGGCGGCACGCACCAGGCGGGTCGGTGCAATCATGCGTTTTTGCGTACTGCTTTAGCATAATCGCAAGAATATATAACTTACTGGCTTTCGACGTTCAGAAATTTCTCACGAGTCAGTACGTCAAATGCAGACGTGCGTGACGGTTGAGAAATTTCTCACATTCCAGGATCGTAGTTGGCCAGGAAACACACTGGCAAAATTTCAGCGTCAAAGCTTGCGTGGTTAGCGAGTTGAAATACCCGCACAGACGAACACGCAGGGTCGTCACAATATGAGTCTCTGCTGCCTGTTGCAGCGCTCTAGCGTTGCATAACAAAAACACATAAAAACGAGTCGACAAATTTCAGCGACGATCCGTTTTCTCCTGGTGAAGCCAAATCATCGACCTGCAGCCTGGGCAGTGTTATTTGCCACTAAAAGAATTCCCAGTTTTCATCGCATATTCCATAAATGCTACACACAATACAAACGACTTACTTCCCCACGACGTGCAGAAAAAGATAACTTGTCAACGACCGTTTCCGCTGAATATTTTTTGGTTAATTTTGTTACAACAATATCCGCTTTATCTTGCTCTGGATCTGCTCCTCGGATATTAATATCTTCATTTAACTGGTCTGTGTAGTCTTCTTCGGGAAGACGAACTTTTTCTGTCTTCGACGGCTGCAAGAAATTGACATTCCGTTGCGAAATCAAAAAATATGCCAACAGTCAAAACGCTCCCCACATTAGCTCTTATGAGAGATGTTTGCGCAGCTGATGTCGAGTATTCGTTATGCAAAAAATATACTAGTATTTGGGCGGGATTCTCACAGACAATCGGCACACGTACATATTTGAGATGCAATTATAAGCTGGAAACATGCAACTCAGATTAAGACGATCAGCATTCAACGTGTCCGATTTATGACAACGGAAGAGTGAACACTTCTGAGCCGTGCTGCAGCCAGCCTCGCACATAACACTGCAATAATTCACAGCATTTTTTATAAATTACCCATAAAGAGAGTAGCCAAAAACCGCCACATAGATAGACATAATCTAAGAAAATTGCTAGCAGGAACATCAGTATGCAATCGGCAACCATCATTACAAACGCCCATCCAAAC